TCTTCGGCTTCGAGACAACCGGCCCCACGTCTTCGGCTTCGCCCCCCCGCGCCGGAGATCGGCTCCTAGAGAGGTAGCGAATGTGACCGGGACCGGACCTTACCCATGGGTGTCCATTAACCACCCCGAGCGCGTGGGTCCTAGACTGGCGTATTCAACTGGGATAGTCGAACGTTCAGGTCCTGACCCACCTCTGTTGGCCTCAAACGTTCCACACTGGAACAGTGCGGAAGACCAGCTCCATCACTGAGACGCCGTCGACAAACGCCCACCATTCTTTCATGAATCCCTTCACGACCCGAAGGACGCGACACGTCTGGGACTGCCGAACTGCCGCCCCAGGCCAGACCCCTCATGGCCCACCTTAACTGATCGGCATATACCATACATGGAGCGTGGGAGACAATCTCTCCCTCGCCCTCTCCCCATCTCCGTCTCCCTCCGCCCTCGTCCGTCTCCCTCCGCCCTCTAGCCCTCGCTGACCTGCATGCGTCGGTCACGCCCAGCAGATCAAAGATCCAACGCATGGTGTTCCTCAGCGCAGACGGTCAGACGCGCGGGCGCCGTGGCTCTTCTTCGCTCCCATGGAACGGCGGACGGCGACGGTGACGGCGAAGGACTGGCGCACGGCACGTTGGGTTCTGGCGTGGACGAGGGAGGTCTTCCGCGGTCGGCGGGTGAGCGCATGGCGCATGAAGAAAGCCCGCGTTGTTTGGGGAGAGAAGCCCAAAGGCGGACGGTGAGGATCGAAAAGGCGAAACACATGAATCCCGAAGCACCTGGGAGCCTGGACCGACTGTGCCACTGACTCGACTCTGAGATGCCAAGGCTTTGGAGTCTGGAGCTGACTCAGGAGCTTCTTCAAGATAGAAGAGATCAGAAGACTAAGACCAGCACCACCCAGTACCATGAGAGGTTAAGTGACCTTAAATAGGACCCTACTGGGGTACCTATGGGATAGTCTAGTTCGGGTCATTCAACCTCTGTTGGTAACTGGATGGTGTTTTTGGACCCCTGACTCCTCACACTGAAGATGTAGAGTTTCTATCCAACCATCCCAGTTCTGGGAGGGTGCTGGGAGTGGGACCGACCGCTTTGATCCCTCTGTATTGGTTCTTTTTCCAGACTTAGACGCGACCCTGGTCCCGAACAGTTCAGTAGGGGTCCGGACCTTCTCACCAATTCCTAGGGTTTGGTTCGGGACCAGGAAAGAGCTGTTTTCACGGAGCGTCTGGGTAGACTCTCTCAAGTCCGCAAATGGCAGATCTTTTACCATTCCAGCAGAGGTTGAAGAACCCTGTAGGGTCCTAGTTCAGGTCACTTAACCTCTGTAGGTTGGATCTGAAACGCCTCAGCCCAGGAACCACTACGTCCACACGATGGGGTTCCATGCAGCGATCGTTTCCGGAGCCCTGGGCGGTTTTCATGTGACCCGCGAGTCGATTCCACGTGGTTGAAAAGTGGTGAGAAATGGCACTGGACGATGTCGAACTTGGATAGGGATCCCATCCTTCACCGAACTTGGGGCATTGCACGTGCCATGTCTCACCTCTTTTCAACCACTCTATTTGTGTGGCGTTTTTTTGAAACACACATGCCCCGCTCACATCGCAAATCAGACCAATCGAGCCCTCAAAAAAAGCGGAGAAAGACCGGGTCCTACACCGGGTCCCACCGAACTGTTCCTCGGCTTCGCCTGGTGGGGGAACTCCCCTGGTTTTTTGTTGTCCAAAAGAAACGACTAGGTTGGAGGCCATGGCTATTAGGTGGAGGCCATTTCTACTAGTAACAAGGATGTGAAAATCACTAGACCAAAAGGCACCGGGCGCCGTCACGCGGCGATGGCGCCCGGCCCCAACTCCGGCCATACCCAAATCCTCGCTGACCCGAAGCAATCTCGATCTGTTTGGTCCGGGAACCGGACCAGTCGGGCTGTCACTCAGCTGTCACTCACGAGCTGGTGAAGGATCAGATCTGGACTCCCCCGTGACGCCGTCACTGGGCTGTCGTGACCACTCAGAAGCGAGGTCACGAAGATGAGGGGCGTGGAGGGCCGGTAGCATGTTTGTTTCTGCATGTTTGTTCACTTGGGAGGCTAAAAGCCCCTCTTTTGAAGGACTCTTTGCTACCAAGGACTGAGACCGAGTCGACGTGGCTTTAGCAAAACACGAAAACACTTCTTAAGAATAGCGACGGCCTCCATCGAACGTCGTAGCTTTCTTGTTACTAAGAAGCTAAAAAACAACACACTCAAAAACCAGCTATTTTTTGCCTCAAACCAAAAAAAACGTGTTTCTTTCCTCAAACCAAAGGTGTCCCAGACGCTCCATGTATGCCATCTATGCCTGCATTGACCCCTCAAACCAACCCAATATTATATACCAATACATGTACCATCTGGGTGTTGTTGTTGTTGTTGTTGCCACGCCTGTCCACCGGAAGCCCCTGTCAACCAAATGACAGGTCAGGTCCAACGGCTCAATCGACTGGTCCTTTTGGGGGGAACGACATCGGTCACATCGGTCACCCCAAACACACAGGCGACGCACCAAATACCGGGAACGCACTGACCGGGGTACAAAGGCCCGGTCAGCACCGGGTGCCGCGAGCTTGCGGCCGCGAGGTGCCGAGGCGCCGAATGAGGTTGCTGCCAGACTTGTGCCAACACATGATCAGATAGACCCGCCTCAGTGGTGGGTGAGATGGCGTAGAATGTGGTGGAAAAAACGCCGGCTAGCGACCCAAAAGGTCGGAGTCATGGAGTACAAGACGATGAACTCATTTACAGCCACCACAAAGAAACAGATCTGATTCACACTCAGAACGATCAATCAAAGAGATATCAACCAGGACCTTCCAAAAGGGGTCTATTTTTTTTCGCCGCAACTAGCCGTTAAGGGGTGTCCATGTCGACCACTCCTTGAAGGCCCTGGAAGAGTCTACCCTAGAAGTCCAAAGACTATATTTCAGTTCCCTTACCAGGACCCCCAGTCGGGGTGGTTAATGGACACCCCGAATCACCTCTTTAAGGGGCTATTTCCTAGACACCCCTAGCCTGGAGGGTCCTGGTAAAGACCATTCTTTTGATAGTCTTTGACTCCCAGGGTCTACAGATTGACCACCGGAATCTTCCTCTTCTGGCCGTTTCAGGTTCCCCCACCCCCCCGCTCCGTGCAGCACTCGCGTGGCGAGGGCGGCACTGAGAGTGGGTGGGCCTAGCTATACGTGATCCCAAGTGATCCACTTTTGAAGTGAGAGTGTTCATTTAGGTGTTGTTTTTTTGGGACTTAGAGTTCTTTCATGGACTATCCTCTATATATAATTTATAACCCAGACACTCCATGTATGCCATATATGCCTACATTGGGCTGGTTTGAGGGGTCAATGTAGGTATATATGGCATACATGGAGTGTCTGGGTAACTATAACTCATGGTCGCGCCGCCCACCGAGTTATAAGGTCTAAAAGAGTGGCCGTTCCCACCGCATCTTCCGACAGTTCAATCCTTCAAGTTGGATCCTCAATCCGCTGTTTCCGTCGAAGACACTTGTCCAGGGGGTTGGTCGCTTGCATCGACCGGCCCTGGCCCACGCGCGCCAAAGACTTCTGGAAGAGTCCCTGACCACAGTCGTTCTCCTCAGGAGCAAAGGGGCGGTGAAGCAAGGGGTGTTCAATGCCCTAGGGATCCAAGTACCTTCTCAGGTACGGTGATTGGAGACTGTTTATGTAGGCTTGGAGGGCCCAGTCGTACCGAACCTGAGAAGGTGGCAGTGGATCCCTAGGGATGGAGATCGGTGTAGAAGCTTGATTTGCTCCCTTGCTTGAAGGTGCTGGTAAATGGTTCTTCTGGCGGGCCGTTTGCAGTCCGGGACGCCAAAAACGAAACTTGGCTTCGCCCGTGGACGTCCGCCAGGTTTGCTGACCGATTGAAGTGCAGTGAAGAAGACTACGTGGAGGCGCAAATACATGAAGCATCATGAAGCAATCCTAAGAACCAACAGTCACATGTCGGGGTGGTGTTTAGTCCCATCCAGTGAGTGGATGTGGATCATGGGCACCCCGACTACCTCCATGGAGTCCGCACCGCGTTGACTGCACGTGACTGCTGGAAGGTTCCATTTTCCTGATTCTCAAACGTTTGGAAACCTGAACAACAAACAACAACCAGCACCCAAAGGGTGAGGTTGATAATGAGTTTGAGTATCTATACCAGGACCGAAACCTGCCAGGTCACCACCTGCGACGTGGAAAAGTCTACAAAAGCCTCCAGAAGAGACCTCTTGGAAGGTGCTGGTACCTGGACCTTCAAGGGGTGTGCAATGGAGGTCCCTTAGTAGTGTAGGGGCTTCCAGCCAGGTGACCCCGACATGAAGGTGCTGGTATATTGCATCTATCTAAAAACCCACCCTTTTTCGTGCGTTCCACAAACTCTCCAGTTTCAGGATCTGACAAGGAGGGTTGTTATCCTAAAACAGAATGCTTTTTCCCTCGCTGCGTGGAAGTGAAAACATCGAAGTCCATCGCCCTGGGACCTCAAAGAACGGGAAGCTGGACGCCGAAATCGCCCGAGGCGAATGGATCTGGATCTGGCTGGGCCCTTCTACGATGAAACACAAAAAGGCACAACATCAGCGATGCAAGGAGCATAAAACTGCAGGAATTTCCCACATCTGTCACATCTGTTTTCGCAGACTGAGGAGAGTGGGCCCAGAGAGAGCAGTGCAAAGATCTGGACCCGACGTCGTTCGTACCTTGGACAACTGGGACATTGCCCTAAGATAAAACGAACTTGTACTCATTTTTCCAAGGTACTTTGCGCATTCAAGTATATTTTATCTAATTGACATGAAGACAGCCTTTACTCCCAACCCCCAACATTAAGCGAGAACCCTTAATTAGCCGCCCATTTGAAACACACGACAAAGACAAAATAAGAACAATAAACCAGGAGTCACATGTCGGGGTGGTTTTCAGTCCCATGCAGTGATTGGAGTAGCTGGGCACCCCGACTACCTCCGTTCGTTCGGCACCCCGAGCGAGCTCTGTGACTGCTGGAACACACGAATTACCACAGACACAAACATCGTCACCAGCACCCTCCTTTCAGGTGCTTCCTGGTGACGCCCAGGTTCACCACCTCAAACGTCGGGTCTTCAAGGAACCGCACCTTAGAGGATCCTGGTATAGACTCAGCGTCCGATCGCTCCGTTCGAGTCGCGATGCCCGTTGCTCCGTTCGTAGCGTCCGATCGCTCCGTTCGTAGCGTCCTGGTATAGACTATCGAAAGAAATGAGCCGAGCCCCACTTCCTACCCCTCCTCTGGCCCAGCGTCGCAACTCTCCGCCGCCGCCCCCTCGGCTGCGGGGCCCCGCGGTTCGGACGCCGAAGGATGAATCTTCCAAGCCGACCGAGGCGACCCCAACGAGGCGAATTCCCCCGGTTCCCGGTCCTACATGTTGGTTCAGGGCACCAATTTGGTCCTGCTCCATGTCACCCGGACCAGGATCGGGGAACGGGTCCTGCCACTGAGCCCAAGCTGCTTCCTGCCACGGCGACGTCGCTGTGGCCAAGGCGGCCACCACAGCGGAGAAGGCCGCCACACGCAGCCAGATCCTCGGTGGAGCCCGGTCGATGGGCGGGTCTTCAGGAGTTGTTGGTCGCCTGGAAGCCCAGTCCCAACCCGAAAGAAATGGATGGAACTCACCAAATCCCAGCCATTTCCGATGTCAAGAATCATTTTTTGCCATATTGGAACAACCATTGTTTGGGGTTCCAGGATAGTCTGAATACCGAAGGATACCTTCCTAGCACTTCCTGTCCGGGTGCCCTGGAGTAGGAGACCTGTTTACGTTGGGAGTCGGGTAGTCGAACGCCAGGACACCCAGACAGGATGATCCAGGCTTGTTTTACTGAACTTTACTCTGCAACACCAGGTCAACCGACGAACTGGGTTTCCCCCTTGTGATTGCGGTACCACTGCCAATGCTGCAACTGCCATAGCGTGCGCCCTGCAGAATGAGGGACTTGGGGTTTTGAAACTGTCGTGCCGTCGAACCGGCAGTGACCTGGTCAAACGAACGCGGAACGTCTTTTCGGAACGGGGATGGACTCAAGATCCACCCAAGCCTGCATCTCAAGCCTTCCAGAGGTTAAGTGACCTGAACTAGGACCCTACAGGGGTACCTATATATATATATATATATAGTCTACTGGGACCCACAAAGGGTGGTTTATGGACACCCCTTAACCTCTAAGGGGCTATCAATAGACACCCCTTATGAGAAGAATAGTGCACTCAGGATGAGCAGTCAACTTTTGATTTGTA